ATTTATTCACAGCTTTAAGACTTGAGATGCAACTCAGAGAGACAGAAGAGCTCAGCCAATATGTCCAGCCTGCTCTCTGCCAGCAGTCCCGATGTTTCTTTCTGTCTCGGTGTTGGGACCACCTTCCTCCCAGCCCGGGGCAGGAGGCTGATGATGAAGGTCTGGACGGTTGGGGTCCCGCTGAGGGCCGGTGACAGATGGAACACAGAGTCCTTGAGCTGGTCCCGCTGGTCCCGCTATTTCCTCTCTTGCTTTATCTCTTATTCCTGAAGCACCTCCTGTTTTCCATTTCCCTTTCCCCATTCGTCTTTATCAGTCAATTTCCCTGTATCTCCTTTCTCTTCCTCTTAACTCTTCTCTGATATGGATTTCTAGATTCAATCACCAATCTCAATTTTCTTTGTTGCCCTTCACTGGCTCTACTTTTTCGACCATTATTCACTCTTTCCCCTCTGCTCTTTTCATCTGTCCTTGTTACAGATTTCTGTAGTCTTTCACTCTTTGTTCCCATTCCATGCGCACTGATTTTCTCTATCTGTCGTGCAGAGGAAACATCGTCCTCACTCTCCTTCACCTTAACCTTATTCCTCTGTCCTTGTTTTTCTCTGTCTTCATTTTCTTTCTCCATCCTTCGTCGTGTGCCTTTGGGCTCCACAGGGGCCTCTTCTCCTCTGGTCTTACCCGTCCATCAGTACAAAACACACAACTCTTGCACACACACACACACAAGTTGAAACTCTCTGGTGGTAGCTTAGAATGCACCTGGAGGACAAGTACTAGATTATAGTCTCAGCTCCGACAGTGCGCAGCTGCTGGGGCACACATCACACTTGCACAGATGCATAGCGAGAATTAAGGGATGTACATTTTATTCTCATTCTTTAACAATTATCAGAGACACACACACACACACACACACACACACACACACACACACACACACAGACACACACACACACACACACACACACACACACAATCTAAAGTCTTTAATGGATCTGTCTATTCTAATCCGTCCTCTGACCCGACCATCCATTACCTCCAAATGTCTATGTGGTGTATTTGCAGAGTCACTCTTCTCCTACTTTTAAAATAGACCTCAGGCTTCAGCTGACCTAAAATGTACCATTAGAGCTGTAATAAGTTAGCAAGGTGGACTAGGTTGTGGCAACACTAAACTAAATGTTAGGTTTGCTCTGTGAAGTACAGCAATGGATATGTTGGCATGAATTTGTGTTCTGGACATTTAAGATGAAGGAGTCTAGATGACAACTCAATTTTTCAAGTTGACATTTTCTGTGTTTTGTGAACTGCCTCCAAAACGTTTTAACCTGTTGAGCCCTGAGCCTGTTTTTCAGGTCTCAGGCTCGAAAATGACATTCCCAGAACAAATGACCATATCTTCCCTTCTAAAAGGGTTAAATTAATAATCTTTTTTCTCAAAGTAATGATAAACCTGTGAGTTGGATGTAGAAAAGTCAGAATCAATATAGATGTTTTTTATTTTAAAGGAAATTCAGATTGAACATGGTAAAAAACTGTAAATTATAGTGTCCGTCCAAAAATAATTTTTTACTTAAGAAGCCCTGAGACACAGTCTCTAAAAAAGACTGTGGGGGGGGTCGACTGGGGCGACCGCCGTGCTTAAGAGGTTAAATAGTAACTTTGGTACAGATACTCAGGATGAATCCTAACGACTTGATCCTGTGGCTGTTAATAATAAGTCTGTCCAATCAATGGATGTTTGACCTGTTTGCCTACCTGTACACACAGTCGTTGCCCGGCAACACAGTCTTGACAACAGGAAGTACAACTCCCAAGTTGTTAACTTTCCTTTAGATATTTTTTAATTCAATATAATCATTTCAAGGGAGTGGCTTTGGAGGAAGGACTGAAGGCACGTCGTGCACATTTGGTGATTTCCTAGTTTATCTCTATTGAAGGCTTGCCTCCTCTCATTTAAATGTGATTGGCTTTTTATTGCGTTTAGACCATTTACAAGTTTATGTCTTGAACAGTTGTGGTGTTCAAAGAGAGTCGATGTTCTTTCATTGTTATTGTTAGTCTCCTGGCTGTTTATTGTTCCTTCCAGTCTTTGCATGTGATCTCATTCAGCACAGCCGTCTTCCTCGAAGGACTTTTTCTTGGGTGTATCAGCTAAAATCCTAATTGTCTTTGTGCCTTCTGGTTGCTAAGTTAAATCGTGTGGTGTGTCACAAGTTGTAGAACTCTATTAAATTCTTTCATTACAGTTTCCTTTACTACCATATTAAGAAATCAACAAGTTGTCTTCACATTGCCTTGAAAGATGAGTTAGTTACTGTGCTTTCTAATTAAGTACTTTGGAGCATGTTTTTGTGTTTTTCCAAACATAGACGAGGTTAGCTCTTCCTCTGGAGCTTTCTCGCTTTGCTTTCTGTTTCCCGACTCCACAGCTGGCAGCGTTTGATGGCACCAAAGCTTTTGGGAACGACAACTGTCTCACGCTCCTGCACGGCAACTTTGTCACAATCAGACGAGCTAATTAGCCCTGAGCATCGAGATTAGTCACGCGGAGGCTCTGTAGAAACACTGCAACATGTGAAGTACAAGAGCTAAAGCGGCATCAGTCACAAAGAGGTACAAAGCATCAGCAGTAGACCTCGAGATAATAAGTGTATCCGACTGATATTAAAGATGATTTCCACGGAACATACTTCTCTTTTTATAATTGTAATGAAACAAGATTAAACCAATTGTCAAATTAATTTAATGTAATGTAATATCCTACTTGTACCTGTTATTGTGCAGACAGTTCAATACCAGTGGCAGTTCTAATAAAAAGGTGAAATTAGATCATGCCTCATATCTTGTTTGAGCTCCGTAAGATATCTTTCTACTCTGTTGTGATCATGTAGTGCGGTTTTTGATTTGGATCCTCCGACTCTAAAGGTTAACAACTTTTAATTTCAAACTTGTTAACTGTTCTCCCTGGCCAGAAGAATAACGTGTTACTCGAAGGGATGAGGGATATTATCCATCAGAGTCTACTTCTGTTGAGATTGCTTTACATGCAACATTTTGAAAATCTCCATCAACAAAGCTACAGTGAAGCTTTACAACCCATTCAGCGGTGCTGTTAGCCTGGGGGCAAAGCATAGATAGACAACAAGGTTCTTTAAGACATATTGTAAAAGTTGTCTGAGTGATATTGTATAACACAAGGACCTCCCTAAACGGGGGCATCTCTGTGTCCTCCGGGATCTCATTACTTGTAATTGTTGGCTGTGGCTGTTGGACTCTATCAAGTCTCTCTCGATGATTAGCATTGCTCATAGGTAGCTTTTCACAGTGATCTTCAGAGTAGTAGTTATTGAGTCCACTTCTTACATTGAAGTTTCAAATTTCACAGTTGAAACTATGGTCGAATAGCGTTGGGTTTCTTCTATTATCTTTTCAATGAGGCTAATCAAATTAGCAAGTGTAGGTTCGGGACAGTTAGCATTAGCTTCACTCATGCTGAAGTTTCCAAATCAGGAGCGTCCATTTTCTTTAGTTTTGGCATTTTACAAGAATAATAATGATCCTGTAGTTATCCGATTCATTTTTAGTCGAAGAAAGTAGGTTTGCAAAAAGTTATTGTAAAAATGTATCAGTCCGGTACACATCTACTCACTCTTCCTATTCAGAAGCGCCCACATATTATAAGTGTTAATGCAAGAGAGTAAATCAATAAGGTTCTGCTTGATTTACTCACCTGCAAAAACCCTCAACAAACTTCAATATATCCAGAACTCTGCCGCCCGTCAACTCACCCACACCCGAATCCGTGAACACATTACACCCGTCCTCATTAAGCTCCACTGGCTCCCCATCCCCCAGAGAACTCCTAATGACATAACCTGGCCCAATCCTACCTAACTGACCTCCTCCACAGACACACTCCCACTCGCTCCCTCCGCTCTGCTACTGCCAACCTCCTGTCCCTCCCCACCCGGACCAACCTCAAGTCCTGGGGCGGCAGAGCCTTCTCCGTTGCTGCACCCACCCTCTGGAACTCACTACCCCAATCCATCCTCTGCCGCCCCAGGACTTGAGGTTGGTCCGGGTGGGGAGGGACAGGAGGNATTCAAAGCTTTATAAACCAGCAGCAGTATTTTGAAATCTATTCTTTGACACACAGGAAGCCAGAGTAAAGACTTCAGAACAGGAGTGATGTGATCCACTTTCTTAGTGTCAGTGAGGACTCGAGCAGTGGCGTTCTGAATCAGCTGCAGCTTTCTAATGGATTTTTTAGTGAGACCTGTGAAGACACCATTACAGTAGTCCAGTCTACTGAAGATAAAAGCATGGACAAGTTTTTCCAAATCCTGCTGTGACATTAGTCACATTGGAAGGGATGAAGATACATTGCGCTTTCATTTGTAACTCAGTTTCTCCGTACAAGCAGAACCTTATTGATTTACTCTCTTCCATTAACACTTATAATATGTAGGCGCTTCTGAATAGGAAGAGTGAGTAGATGTGTACCGGACTGATACATTTTTACAATAACTTTTTGCAAACCTACTTTCTTCGACTAAAAATGAATCCGATAACTACAGTATCATCATTATTCTTGTGAAATGCCAAAACAACTAAAGAAAATGGACGCTCCTGATTTGGAAACTTCAGCATGAGGGAAGCTAATGCTAACTGTCCCGAACCTACACTTGCTAATTTGATTAGCCTCATTGAAAAGATAATAGAAGAAACCCAACGCTATTCGACCATAGCAATCGACCATAGTTTCAACTGTCAAGTTTTAAACTTCGCTGTAAGAAGTGGACTCAATAACTACTACTCTGAAAATCATCTGTGAAAAGCTACCTATGAGCAATGCTAATCATCGAGAGAGACTTGATAGAGTCCAACAGCCACCGCCAACAATTACAAGTAATGAGATCCCGGAGGAC